TTTTAATTTTTTTGAATTGTTTTATAATCAGTTTTTTCTATCAGATTGAGAAATAGTTAAAGGATTAACACCCTGCATATTAATAGGGCCATAAAATATATATCTACTCTCAACTTCTTGAATGTCATCTTTTCGCGGCCACTTAAAAACTTCTAAATTTTGAAACAGAAATTTTATTTTAAACTTTCGATTAGTTAATTTTTCCAAGACCCTTCCTATATACCATCCAGTGTCATAATAAACGGCGTAATACATTTCAATATTTATTACAATCTCCGAATTGTCATTTTCAGTGTCTGCTTAATGATTTAGATTGTGAGAACTCGTGGGATTTTGTCTGACACGCACTAATCTGTTATTGCTTAATTTCTTATTATTATTAAATAACCAACAAAGAGATGATTTTTTAACTATTTTTATCTGGTTTGCTAGGACTACTTTTATAAACGGCGACTTTTCTATATTATCTTTTTTCTTAATAAATTCTGGATCATCAACATAATATTTTAGACAAAGGTCATCGTCCAATTGATCATCATCAAAATTATCAGTTTCAGAGACCAAATCAGTTTGTAATCTTGTTTCTAACATTGATTCAACTTGTGTTGTAATATCTAATCCTGCTTCAAAATTCGAAATTAAATTATCATCCTCATCATTATTTAAATCAATATCTTCCACAAGATTTTCTTTCAAAAATTTGGGGAAACAATTAATATTTTTCCAATACGATTCAGGAATGTTGTTTATGCCAACTTCATTAAGGTCCGATTTAGCTTCTGCAAGCGCTGACATAATAATGTTTTCAATTTCTATATCATCTGGGATTTCACTTAAATTTTCATTACTTCCAATACCTAAACGATTATGTATTTTCCTTGGAAAAACAAACTGATCTTTTAAATCATTTTTGACGTTTTGTATATATATATATAATTTGAATTTTTTTAATTCTATTCATAATATCGTTTAAACTAAAATTGACTATTGTGGAAAAAGTAGAAGTCAAGCTTCTTGTTGAACGAAAAATTTGTTCGCATGGTTGACTACTCATCAACCATGGCACGCACATACTAGAATTTAAGTTAGAGTCAGATAAAATTATTTGAAAAAGCATAAGTAAGAAGTGAGCATTGATTTCTACTGACATATAGGAATTTGAAGTGATGAAATTTTTTGATAGAATTAAATCATTTTGCTCTAAGATCCAGTTTCGCCATATTCGGAAAATAAATACAGATTTCCAAATTAAAAATAATCTCTCTCTATGAGCCAAATTTTTGTTTAAAAATGAATCTAAAATATTTCTTATTGCTTTTAAATAAATTACAGAACCTTTCGCATTAGCCACTTTTTCATTTAAAATATTCGTCACTATCGGATCACATATTTTTTCCACAGCCCTATAATTCATTTTGTCTTCTCCATTTATATCAGATATAGTTAATAAGTGTTTATCTTTTCCAAAATTGAGTATAAGATATTCAAGATGCTTTTTATTGATTATGTAATTGCCTATTTGTAAATTCACTTTCTCATGTAAAAGCCGCGTTCTCAATTTTGTACCAATATGTATAGTATCTTGGCAGACCAACGCATTTGAATTAGGTTTCATACAATGAAACCAAGGCCATTTATTTTCAACAGAAGCTGGAAGTTTATATGTAGTTTTCATGGCTTTCATAAGTCTAGTATCACCATCAGATGAATGACCCAAAATTGTAATACCAAATTCTTTAGCCATAGATTGCATTTTTATCCATCTTTTCAAAACATCGGAGGCTGTAAACCGATTATCTGTACCAAAAATTGACAGGCAAAACGATGGAGTATTATTCTGTAAAGGCTGGGCCATAACAACATAGGCATAATTAGAAATACGTTCCTCTTGAAATTGTCTTTTTATTTCCTTATAAGTTGTTGCCTAGAAACCACAATCTGATAATTTTGTGAAAAATCAACTTAATTGTTTAAAAATGAAGAAAATTGTTATTTACCTTAAAGCATCCAACTTTTGGTAAGCCATCGTCATTTAATGGTAAAACGAAACCAATATTACAATTTTCGTATATTGAATATTCGACTCTGCCAGTAATTCCAGTCGCATCTTCACTAAGCCAAACCACTTTAGGTAAATTTCTTTGTGTTAAGAAATTGTTTAATTCCTTAAAACGGAATTCTCCCTCCCGAAGTGAACAATAGTTTGTATTTATTTCCCTGCTGATAGTGTATACAGCTGGAATAATGCCGTTCAAATTGGCATGTAATGTTTCGTAAGTCAGGCGTCCACCTATTATTCAAAACAAATATTAAAGAAGCTAAAAATAATTAAAAATACAAATATATAAAAATTTCGAAATACATCCTTACCTACAATAAAAAGATATGTGCAAAATCTTTTAAAAGATTCCTTATATTGATTATTTTTCGAATTCTTATTAGTATTGTTAAGAATTGCTGTTTCAAAAAGTTGTTTTAACAAACCATCAATATTATTTGGGATCGAAGCAATACTTTTTTTAAGACATCGAAGTTCTTCGGCATGCTCAAAAAACGCTTTCTTTAAAATGTCATTTTCTTGGACTATCTTTGAAATTTTATCAAGATAGGGAAAATACTGCGTAATAAACATTTGATTTGGGGATATTATTTGTAGTTTTCTTTTTAATCGATTTTGTCGACTGTATTTTTCACTAGATGATGATTTTTTTGAAGGTGTTATTTTAGTACTGCACATCATCTTATTTTTTCCAGTACTATTTATTAAAAATTTGGCAATTCAGTATCGGAATCTGAGTTGGAATTATTTTCCTCTACAACAGTCTCGGAGATTGTTTTTTCCTCGGTTTCTTCGGTGTCTTCGATTGGAATTATTACTGAAGTTTCCAAAGATGATTCTTGTTTCGATTTTTTATTTTGAATAGTATCCAAATTTTTATTAGCATCAGTTTTTGAAAAATAAGAAGTTAATAAGGATGATTTTTTAAAAGAAGTCTGAGGTGCTGTCGAAGTGTCGTTTTGAGTATTGCTTAAATGCTTCAAGAAATGTTTGTAAAAATTGCTCACCATCCATCTTGTACTCGTATTTTCATTTTTACTGCACTTGATGATTTTTATAGATGTTTTGCAAAGAAAACAATTAACCGTAGCAAAAATAAGGTTTTCATCCCCAGCTTCAACTTTAATTTTCATATTTTTTGCTTTTTCCAATAAATAATTTTCATTCGTATCTGATGTCTTACTTATTTTTTGCTCTATCCAGTCCAGTATAAGTTTTTTAATTTTTTCCATTTCTAAATGTAAATCTATTATCTTGGTCCGTCTGATTAAATCAGAGTTTTCCTCAGATAAATCGTCTCGTTTTCTTTTATGACTAATTTTCTTTCCATCATCTACATTTTTATCACCTGCTTTTGTTTCTCTCTGCAACTGTTGGGACAATTCGAAAATTTGCTTTTTAAATCCTCCTAGTATTTTAAACATTTCAGGTTTTTTGGAAAACAATGGACCATAATACTTGACATAATCTTTTTTATCCACTAACAAATGAAGTTGCTCTCTTGCAAAGGCTTCTATTTCTTCAATGTCTTTTTCGTGAATCGAAAGAAGAGAACTTTCAGTGTAATATCCTGTTTCTTTTAACAGTTCGATCAAATAACTTGGCAAAATTTTTAATTTACTGTCAAAATTTACCAATTCTGTATTTTTCGTATTGATTTCAGCAGGTAATTCCCTCGATGATTGTTCAGAATTTTCCATTTTGATCGATTTCGATAATAAAACCACAAAATAATAGCAAAAACTGTATCAGGAACAGAGCGGGCAACGTCTCGCAACTTACATCAAGCACAGACTGGAAAACGTGTCGAAACACGAAAGACTGCGTTTCCGATATGTGATTGTTTCTCGGCAGCTAGATGCGTCGCGTGTGCGTACGATGAAACGGCGAAGTCTTTTTGAGACAGCAATTCTCAACAATTCTAAAACGAATTCGAAGAATAATCAATATAAAAAATCTTTTAAAAGATTTTGCACATATCTTTTCATTGTAGATAAGGAGATGTATTTCGTAATTTTTATATATTTGTATTTTTAGTTATTTTTAACTTCTTTAAAATTTGTTTTGAATAATAGGTGGATGCCTGACTTATGAAACTTTACATGCCAATTTGAACGGCATTATTCCATCTGTATCCATTATCAGCAGGGAAATAAATGCAAATCATTGTTCACTTCGGGAGGGAGAATTCCGTTTTAAGGAACTAAACGATTTACTTTAGACAAATTTCCTAACGCAAACAAATTTGCTTAAAGTAGTTTGGCAATTTCGCAATTTTTTAACGCTTGTGTATCCACAGCCTGAGAGCTAGATTATAAAAAAGCAGTTCCTTTACGTCAACTCCAAAAATTGATTAAAAATGTATACTATTGTAAAAAAAATACAACATGCTCATCAATGACGTTCACTAAAAAATCAAAGATTACTTTAGATTACCTCAGATTATCTGAGATTACTTTAAGAATTCCTAAAATTACTTACAGATTCAATGGCGTAACTAAGCCTATGTGCGCCCCCCCGCAAATTTATTTAGGTGCCCCCTTTTCTTCCGCCTTAATTTTTTGCATTTAAACCTTGAAAAAAGTGTAGTCACTTTTAACTTCCCCGGAAGTGTAAGGCAATAAAATGTTTTTTCATAAATATGTTAAAATAAATTATACAATGCAATTGAGACGTATTAGTCTTTGCGGGGTCGACATAGTAATGTTTAGCGTATTTGAAAACGCTATCCCTCAGAAATCAATCTGGGATTATATTTCTATCCGGGATCCAGGCTAAAACCAAGACTGATTTCTACTTTGGTTTTAACTATTAAAAATGCTAATGGAAAGTTGTTAAAGTAAACATTAAACATTGGATACATTAATTTATTTGTAAATGTATGATTAAATATTAATGTTGAATACAAATCGAAATATCGTAAATCTACAAAATCTGCTAATTACAAAGCCAGCAAACCGCGGCGTTTTTTTGCGCTAGCAAATTCCTTAATTACTTTATCTAAATCGAGTTTACTAGCTAATTCGTGTTCTATGCTTAAAGTTGCAAGTCCGCTCAAGCGAGATTGAGACATCGTACTACGCAGATAAGTTTTTATCAACTTTAGTTTCGAAAACGAACGCTCTGCTGAGGCAGAAGTGACCGGTAACGTCAAAATAAGTGCTGTACAAACATTTGGTAAATTCGAGGCTAATATTTTGTAATCTATGAATAAAAATTGCGCAAGATCACTTATGGTTTTAAGATTCCGACTTGTTATCACTTTCGAAACTGTACACTTTAAACTTGCAATTTCTTCAATTAGGCAGTTAGATAAATCATTTTCGTATTTATCGCATAATTGCCGAGCCGATTTTTCAATTTCTCGTTCGCTTGAGTCGATCAATGTCGAAGGATTCAAAAATGAAAAATTATCCTTAATCTTCCGCATACTCGCGAATCGTGTTTTCAACTGACTAATCTGTACATCTAAAGACGCGTTGAATACAGTAATACGGAATTTTTCACTAGGCTCATTGAAGCGAAAGTCCTCTGACAATTCGTCATAAAATATTTTGACTTTACGTTGCCGGCTCTGAACGAACGATATATCTATCTGCCAGCTTTTAGCAACGACTTCAGCTTCTTGTAAAAGAGAAGAAAAATCATTTCGAAGAGCCATCATATTACAACTAACACTTTCGAGCAAATCACAAGCTTCCTCTAAAGTGATATCGGGACTTTGAAGTGTTTTTGAAGCCAAGTTAATGTAAGACAATACTTTGCTCTAAAATACAAGCAATAATACAAACTCAAAGGAGTTCATATTTTTTTGGATATTAGCTGCTTCTTCAATTTCATGTTTTTTTTCCGATATAAGAATTATTTTTGATAAACAATTCATTACAGATGAAAAATTGTATTTCAGAGCATTAACTGAATCATATTGACTTGACCACCTAGTAGGACACATTCTTTTCAAAATTTTTTTAACAATACAATTCGAATTTTGCGCAATATCATCATTTAAATCGTCCCATCGTGGTAAACTCTCACTAAAAAATACGTAAACGTGGTTAACTTGCATGTAGAATTTCGAAAGTTCTGGTATTGTTTTAACCGAATCTTGTAACACCAAGTTTAAATTATGGGAGCTGCAATGAACAAACTCAGCATTGGGAGACATTTTTTTGATACGCGACTGTAAACCTGAATATTCTCCACTCATAACTGCAGCCCCATCATAACCTTGTCCACGACATTTATGTATCGGAATGTTGTGTTTGCTCAAAAATTCAATTACTTCGTTCTGTAAATCTGCGGCAGAATGTTTTTTTACGGCTACAAACTCTAAAAAAGATTCCTTTATACAAACATTCTTATCAAAATTGGCAGAAACATATCGAATAATAAATGAAAGCTGATCAGTTTTAGAAATATCTTGTGTCGTATCAACGATGATTGAAAAAAATGCAGCTTTCGCTATTTCGTCTGTGATTTGGTTTATTACATGTTTTTCTGCTGTCGAAATTAGTTCATTTTAAATTTTCGGGCTCAAGTATTTTATTTTAGAATTCTTATTTTCTAAATGACTACTTAACAAAGGATCATATCGCGACAATAGATCGATTATATTTAAGAAATTTCCCGATTGACTGTCTATTACTGTGTAGTTTTCACGGTGCCCTCTCAACGCTACGTTACAACGTGCTAACGTTACAATCACATCCAGTATTCGTTTTAAAATTTCCTGCCAACGATCCATTAAAATACACATTTGACTTTCGATATCGTGTAGATTTTTCCGCTGAGAATAGTTTACGCACGCATTTATATGTAGTTTGCTGTTCTCATGCAATGAAATTTTTGCAGTTAATCCTTGCCAATCGTTAATTTTTGCTTCGCGCCAAGCAGATTTAAAATTTAGATCTTGTCTGTCCGCAAATAACCAACATGGTTCGCAATAAACCGCATCATTCGTTGGCGAGTAGCATAACCAAAATCTTTCAATTTTTTGATTCGATTTAGTGAGAACAAAATAATACTTTTCGCTAAAAGATCTATTATTTACATTTTTGGGAAACGGTCCTCTTGGTCGGCTTGGTTCCAGTGATAAAATAGTTCGTTTCAATTCATCCGAAATTTCACACGGATACAATCCCCTATCAGAATTTAAGACAGTATTGTTACCTTGTTCTGGCTCTAATATTGACATAACTTCGAGTTCAGCAGATTTTTCGCTACTTTGATGTGTAGATTCTTCCTCAAGTAAATCCTAAAATTAATTCAACATGTACACATCAATCACACACAAATATCATCAACGGTTATCAAAATATAATCATTAATAATATATATATACTAAATAAATTGCACTTCTTACAATAAAATCATCATGCATTTCATCTCCTTGTGTCGTAGGTTGTATTTTATTAAGGTATTATTAGACGATATATTTTCAAACAAAAACTGCAGAACTGATACAGCTATTTTTTATCAGCAAGAAATGTGTATATTATGTTTTATACATTAATGTATTATAATATGTTGATCGATAAACACCAAACAGAGTCAAAAAATAAACGGATAAACACACAAATCATAATAATCACGGTACTTACTTCATTTTCCACTGTTTTTGGTTTTATTGGAATACAAAATGCATCCATTTTTTTTAACTTTTTCACTTTTTCCTCCATTTCTTTCTTCTTTTTTCGATTTTCACAGCCAGATTTCTTTTTATGTGAACTATTCATTGTTAATAAGATAACATATAAAAAATTGTGGCACTATTAATTATTATGTACAGTTATTCTGATTTTTGTAGAGCGAGCGGGTTCCACGTGTATTATGCAGCGTCGCGTCACGACACGATTTTTCACTTACCGCGCGGCAAATGTTTCGATACGGTAACGCATCAAAATAAATATCTACCCTGGGCAGACTGCCCATCATATACATGCATGAATTTTCATGTAGGTAACTAGTTCAAACAAAATCAATCACAGATTCTTAGAAATTAAAATTAAATATATAATAAGAGAATATACAGGACTCTTCAAATTCAACATACAAAAAGAAAAATAAGGCCTTCAAGAGTCATATAAAGACGTTAATAGATCATATCATTTTTACATGTATTTAAAAACTTAAAAATAATCAATGATAAACATATATTATAAAAGCAATTTAGATATATAGATGTTAAGTACAATAATTTGATCTCTTCAAAAACATTACTAGTTTCGGCTATTAATTTTAGCCATCCTCAGATGTGAACGCAATACAAAAATTTAAATTAATCGAAGAACAAGTAAAAATTCGCAAACTAAGATATGTCTTTGGTTGTTTTCCATAAGAATAAAGGAAATAATAAACGAAGTATTTTCTCAGAGGGACGACAGAACCCGTCAAGCGATTGGAAGATCGTTTGCGAAGGAACACCGTAGTTCTAAAGATAAAAACCAAGGAAACAATGTTTCTAATAAAATCGTAATAAAGACCAGAAAAGTCGTCTCTCTGTTAAAACACTCACCTCTCTGTGATAATTATCCGCAAAATCCATGTGGTAGAATTGTTCGTCAAGTTTTGGAGTCAATGATGATAAGATAAATATATCACATCACAACGATGATGTCGATGATAAAAAATTTTTATAATGTGATCATTTTTATAAAAATTTTTTATAAAAAGGGGTTCGTAATGAACCCATTTTTCATCCCCAGTCACAATGCGATGCAGAAATCCCTTCCGTCTTTGTCTTTCGAGCTGCAGCTGTCCACAAGCAAACAAACGCCGTTCAACATCTCTCGACTTCAACTCGTACGGCACCCAATTTCCTTGCTTCTGAATCATTCCCATGGCTTTGAGG